AAGGAGATTAGGGCTCACGCAAGGGCGAGGTGGTCAGCTCCTGTCATTAGTTAATGCGATCGCCGACCAGATTGTTTCAGTGCTGCTGTGCGGAGCGTCAATTCAGTAGCCGCCACGCGCAATGCTCACACCCGGGGACCCGATTCCAATTACACCAGTGTAACTCACGCTCGTCAGCTGTTTCAGTTCCATTTTACACAAGTAAAACAGGAAAAAATTGCAGATTTTTTTAGCAAGGGACCTTTTAGGAAATTTATGAAAATTCGTTTCCAACTTGTGTTCTAACTATGTAACTCTCGCGGATTTTCCCACCTAAGGTCCATGATTGTCACAGAGTGGCGCGACTTGGGAGGTCGCTTCCGGGTTTGCTCGTGCGCGGCACTGCGTCTGGCCAGTGTACTTTGGATTATTCTAATCGGGGATTGGCTTGTCGGACCTGCTTTTCCGGACCACCGCCGATCTAGTCCAAGCGGGCGCGGCGGGTGCTCCACGAGGACGGGGTGCTCGTGGTGGAGAGTCCGACCAAGGAGGCAGCGAGGAAGCCGCTCCAGTGTCGGAAATCATACGGTTTTCTCTATTTATTTCAAGACAGAAAAACAAAAATCAAAAGGGGGGAAGGAACACTGTGGCTGAAAGCAACTGCGGTGGTTCGGTATCGGGTATAAGGGGAGTGGCGTTAGGAAATATAGGAGGTGCCTCCCTCCGCTGCCGCACGGGCAGACGCGCCCTTAAGCCCCCCCCCCCCCCCCTCCCCGCGCGGCCCCGTCCGGCCCCGTCCCGGCCCCTGACAAGGACTTGGCGTATTGCCCGGATGACATTTCGATACTGTGCCGCTCGGTGCTGCTCGCTGCGTCAACGCGACGACAGGAACAACGCCAAGGAACTTCTCGGCGTGAAAGTGGCGCTGCAGGGAGGCTGCCGAGCAGTAAAGTAGCCACAGAGAGAGAGAGCGGTGTTTCCGAACTTGCAGCGCCACTGGCAAATTGCGGCTGGTCAATGGGGCATGGCGGTGGTGTGGCAGTGGCGTGGCGTTTGGCAAGGACGAGGGGACACCCTTTATGCAGGGCCTGGCAAGGCGGGGTGGGGCGGGGCGCGCTCCAGTTTGGCTGCTGTAGGTCACGGCCCACGCCGCGGCTCCGACCGCAGGGCTCGTCCGCAACGAGCACGCAAAGAGCGCCGCTGTCTCTATCGCAGGCGCCAAGCGGTGCCCGACTGAGACACGGACTCCGACTCGTCTCGGGTAACCCGGCCGCGGTTACTACGCCCGCTCCACTGCGTTTTCCCAGTGTGGTGCGGGGGCGTCCGGGTGCGTCACGGAGTCGTATTTCACTGCGAATAATGAAGTAGACAGGTGCAGTGATTGCTGATCGGGGATGCATATAATCTGCCTGGCAGTCAGGCCGTTTCATCTTGCCCCCTCCCCCCTTCCAGTTCCAACCCCCTTCCCCCACCCCCGCCAATTCCGAACCGGCATGTGCCATCATCCCACCCCCGCCGCGTGGACATCCGTTCCTCTCCTGCACCCTCCCCCACTCCCTCCCCAGCACCCCATATCCGACTCATTATAGCGGGGGCCAACTCACACATAAAATTTTACAGGCCTTGAAATCGCCCTGGAACGGTTATGACTTCACTATTTTTTCGCGGCGGCCCTTTCCCAACGGCTGTTTGTTGTCCCAGTTCTTTTTATTGTCTTTCTTCTCGTTAGAATGTTTGAATGTGGCCTCGGCATTTGTCATGGGCGTTGTGTCGCGCGAGCGTCGCCGCGCGTCGCACAATGGGACAATGTTGCAATTGATGTAAAAGGAGGGCGAATGAAATACGAAGGTTACTGTCGGAGAAAGCATTACCAAAAGAAGAAACTTTTCTCGAAAAAAAAAAGGAATTAAAATAGGGCATTTACTTATCTCAAACTCTTCATTTTTAAAAGTGTTCAATTTTGCAAAGTGAAAATTTTTCCCCGTTAGTATAGGAGAATTGTGGCCATTTTTGATAAGGTTGCGCACCTCGCAGGCAGGCGCCACGCCGTGTGTGGGAGGCGGGCGAGGCGGGTCTGGCCGGGCGGGCGGCGACTGTGGCGCGCTCACACGGGATGGATTAGAACTTCACGCGAGTCCCGCCCCGCACTCGCCACTAATCTCCTCGGGTAACTTTCTCAACACTAATCCCCTGCGGTGCCAGATAATTACGTGAGACGAAGCAGCATTGCAGTGGCGGGATGGGGGTGGGACGCGGCAAAGCGAATCTAGAACGTCTCCCGGATCGCGGGTCAACGAGAGTAGTAGTTGCGCCGAGACAAGTAGCTCGGAATGCAGTGTAGTTTCGGTGGAGGGCGGTGGGGGAAGCTCGAGCACTGGAAAAAGGGTTTGGAGGGGGGAAGGGGGATTTCGCATGACATAGCGTCGCGGCGCCGCGCGTCTCAGACGCGGAACAAATTAAAACAGCAATATGCGCGCCGCTGTGCACTTTATCGCAGTGGGCCGTTCCAGGCGACGCCGTGCCCCCCTCCCCCTCCCCCCCCCCCCAGTTTATTGCCGTGCCCCACAACAGTGCATCCCTCATCCCTCCCCCCTCTTCTCTCTCTCTTTCCCGCCGGCCCATTCGACTTTCGCATCATGACTCTCGTTTACCTGCATCGCGTCGAGCCCCATTTGTCTTCCACTCGAATCGTTCGTTCGTTCGTTCCTCGCGCGTCGCATCGAATACCGCACTCGGGTACTTACCTCACCGATGTGGTGGCGGCTCGCCCAGCACGCGTTCAGGCCCCCAACATCACAAGTTTGACTAACGCACACACACACACACACACACACACGCACACACCGTGATGCCTCCTCCGCCCCATTTAACCGTCTTTTTCCCTCGTCCGGGCTGACGGGCATTGTGCGTCGCTGTGAAACCGTACGCGCGCTAAATTTGATTCAGTGGCTGAATTGCCACCCAGCCTAGAAGTGCCGGCCCGCCGGAAGCACCGCGCTTCTTGCTGTTTGGTGATTATTTGAGCGCATTTCCGCTTTTCTTGTTGTTGTTGTTGTTGTTGTTGTTGCGCGGGGTTTCATTCCTCGGCGTTCCGTCTCGCCGGTACAGTGCGCTCACCGCCGCCGCGGCTTCGGTTTCGCCGCGGTGGCTGGTCGACTCGCGTCGTCTCCCTCGCACCCTCACGGCGCGCAGAAGAGAGACAGAGAGACAGCCGCCGTGCGGACGCGGCCCGCTGGCTGGCTAATTATGTTTCGCGGCGTGAAACTTGACCCGCGCAGTTTTCTCCTTTTCTTGTTGTTGTTGTTGGCGGTTTCCCTGTTTTTCGTGTTTCCTCCTCCGCGTTGCCTCGGCCATATCGACGGTCGGAAGGAATGGGGCATCCAGTGCAATGGGTGGGCGTGGCGAGGAGGCGGCAAGGCGGGCAGGCAGGCGGCACACAGTGGGCCAGAAGACCGGTGCAGGCGGCCGAAAGCCTAGACGCGTTTTGAGCTGCAGAGTCGCTAAACAGGGCTCGAAGCAAACGTGTGACCCCAACAATGGATTGCTCTCCGAACGAGGAATCCATTGATAGGCTCACACGTTCAGCTCGAGTCCTGTTTAGCGACTCTGCAGCTCAAAACGCGTCCAGAGTTTTGGCCGCCTCCACCGGTCTTCTGGCCCACTGTGCAGCAAGGAGGAAGGCAGATGACAGTCGTACGGCCGGCAGTAAAGGGAGTGCGGGATGGAACAGTTATGTGACAAAATGGGCGCCGGGTGTAAAATGCAGCACGATGTTAGTTTCTCTGTAGCCATTTCGCCGGTACCGCCCCCCTCACACACACACAGACACACACAGGGGTAAAAACTCATCGGTGACGTCATATGTTTACAGCGCCGCCGCGTCCGAACGCTTAATCGTGCGGTCCGGGACGCGACGCGCGATGAAAACAGATGGAGGTGGGCGAGCCGTCCTCATCGAACGGCCCCGTGAGCGCGCGGTGTTCCCCTCTCGCTCGCACCCTCCCTGCCAATTCTTCTTCCACTGATGGGGCTTTTGAGCGCCAGGCTCTCTCTCCCCCCTCCCTCCCGGCGGAGGGGAGCTAGTTGGTCGCGGGAAGTAGTGGCGGGCCGTTGTTCGAATCGCCGTGCCCGCTAAAGCGCGCTAAAGAGACAATTTGTGGAGCTGCATGCGCCTTTTAATTACTGTGTTTGCCTCGGCCGTTCGCTGAGAATGAGCTGTCGGCCGAGCCCGCCATAATTGCTGGGCCCGGCCGGCGCGGCCAGCGCGGTCTGGTGTGGCCAGCGCGGTCTGGCGGCGCGTCGGCTGCAGCCACACACACACACACACACACACACACACACACACACACACACACACACACACACACACACAGCTGCACCCACCTGCCGCCGCCGCGGGGATTGAAAACAAACAGGAAGGCCTCCCCGTTGGTACTTCCCCGCGAAGGCGCGGCGGCTTCGCCTCGCCGTTCGGGCGTGTCCGGAAGTCTCGCGGGCCTCGGCCCTCTCCTCGTCGCGCTCCAGTTGGCTTCGACTTAATTTCGCGCATCGCTCGTCTCTTCAGGCCGCGGGCCGCGCCCGAAGGCCGATTCGGAGAGTCGTGTTCGTCGCTCTGTCTCTCTCGCACACCTACGGAGAGTCCCAAGAGTGCGAGAGAGACAGAGCTATACGAAAATCGTCTCTCAGTCTGCTGTCCGAAAGGCGCAACAAGTCGATGCGTTTTGCAGTGGCGTTGGGGCCGCGGATTTACTGGCCGCGATCAGGCGGACAATTATCTGCACGCGAGGCGCTAATTGGCGCAGTGTCGTTGTTGTTGTTGTTGCGAGGGTGGTGTCGCCATCGGGGTGGTGGCGCCACTTTGCCACTGTTTTGCGACAAGTGTCGGTGTCCTTGTTACACTGTAGGGTCTTTATGACTACTACTTGATGTCGAGTGATTCTGCCAGTGACCCGCCCAATTCTTGATTTGTTTTGTTCTGACTAAAAGTCTAATTTTTGTGTTTGTTTTTGATTTTTCTCCAGAGCGGACCTGCACTACAAGGCCAACGCCACCATGATGCACCTGAGTGTAAAGAATCTGGCGGTGGTGGACGAGGCGACGTACAAGTGCGAGATCACCTACAACGAGGTCAAGGACGGCTGCTCGGTTGTGCAGTTCATCAACCTCACCACCATGAGTGAGTACAAGCGAGATCCTGAGGGGACAGTCAAATGGGACTGAACCGATTGTGTGACCCCACCAATGGATTGCTCTTCGAACGAGGAATCCATTTGGTGGGGTCACATGTGCAGTTCGAGCCCCGTTTAGCGACTCTGGAGCTCAAAACGCGTCTGGAGTTTCACCCCCACCACCGGCCTTCTGGCCCACTGTGCGGCGCGCCCAATTTGACTCGTTCCGAACGCGGGCTGCAGCGGACGCCTCCGGGGAGGCGTGGCGGCGCACATGCTGGTGTTCCTTGACTGCCAATCTTGCAGCAATTACGGCCGCCTCCCCGGCGCCTCCGAGACAGACGAGAGCGTGGACGGGCGCCTGCACGTCGCCACGCGCCCGCATCACTTTGCAGGACATTTTCCTCGGCACTCGCTGATGTCGTCCTGATGCAATAAAGACACACCCCTCCTTTTTTTCCCGCTCCGGTCGCCGGAAGAGGAACGCTCCTGAATATTCATCGAATGGTGTGCTGAAATGTGCATGATTTTTAAGTAAGTTGTACGACGCATACATTACCTCCACGCACGAGAGGGAAAGTCTTTGACGAAAAAAAATAGGCTGGGTGAGCTTTCCCCTTGTCTCGCCTCGAGCTCTCAACGGCAATGACCGGAAGCGGAATATAATCCCAGCCGTTAAAAAATAAAATAAAAGAATCAGTTAAAACCCTCATTTACTCGTAAAATGTTTAACGATCGCGAGCACTTAAAAATCCGCGTCACATATTTTTTCATTGCGTCGAAATTGCGTCAGGCGGAGGTCATACGAGGCTCGGGTCCGTTCATCAAAGCGACGTGCTCTTTTTTCGTTAGCAGGGAGAGGGCAGGGCGACGCGGGAGGCTCACGGAAAGGTTAGGTTAGGTCAGCGGTTTTCAACCTTTCTCGGCTCGCGACCCCAAATTTGAAGAAAAAATTTCCGCGACCCCCAGGAAAAATTTCGCGACCCCACGGGACCCCTCCTTTAACATGCCACGGCGTCTGATCCGAGGCGGGCATTTTGCTCCCTCAACGGGCAACTGGTCTTTGGACCTTCCTTTAGCATGCCTTTGTTACGGAGTGCAATTATCAGTCTTAGTTTGGGAGCAGTATTGTCTCAAAGTTGGCCAAAACGCTCAGAAATGTCTATGAAAAATCGTGTTTTGGGCCGATTTTAAGCAGCCACTGCGTCTGATCCGAGGCGGGCATTTTGCTCCCACAACGGGCAGTTGGTCTTTGGACCTTCCTTTAGCATGCCTTTGTTACGGAGTGCAATTATCAGTCTTAGTTTGGGAGCAGTATTGTCTCAAAGTTGGCCGAAACGCTCAGAAATGTCTATGAAAAATCGTGTTTTGGGCCGATTTTAAGCAGCCACTGCGTCTGATCCGAGGCGGGCATTTTGCTCCCACAACGGGCAGTTGGTCTTTGGACCTTCCTTTAGCATGCCTTTGTTACGGAGTGCGATTGTCAGTCTTAGTTTGGGAGCAGTATTGTCTCAAAGTCGATCAAAACGGTCGCAAGTGTCTTTGAAAGATCGTTGTGACTATTTTGGTCAACTTTGAGACATTACTGCTCCCAAACTAAGACTGATAATCGCACTCCGTAACAAAGGCATGCTAAAGGAAGGTCCAAAGACCAATTGCCCGTTGAGGGAGCAAAATGCCCGCCTCGGATCAGACGCAGTGGCTGCTTAAAATCGGCCCAAAACACGATTTTTCATAGACATTTCTGAGCGTTTCGGCCAACTTTGAGACAATACTGCTCCCAAACTAAGACTGATAATTGCACTCCGTAACAAAGGCATGCTAAAGGAAGGTCCAAAGACCAACTGCCCGTTGTGGGAGCAAAATGCCCGCCTCGGATCAGACGCAGTGGCTGCTTAAAATCGGCCCAAAACACGATTTTTCATAGACATTTCTGAGCGTTTCGGCCAACTTTGAGACAATACTGCTCCCAAACTAAGACTGATAATTGCACTCCGTAACAAAGGCATGCTAAAGGAAGGTCTAAAGACCGATTGCCCGTTGAGGGAGCAAAATGCCCGCCTCGGATCAGACGCAGTGGCTGCTTAAAATCGGCCTAAAACACGACCCCAGCATCGCCGCAACCCCTTAAAAAAATTTCGCGACCCCAGGGTCGCGACCCTAAGGTTGAGAACCACTGGGTTAGGTCAAAAGCGAGTCAAGGCCGCATTCAGGAGCGTACCCAGTCCGTGTCACGCATGAGGCACACCGACCGCTGCGGCCTGTTTTTTGCCGACATGACCCACTCCATGCACCACACGCACCACCCGAGTAGCCCCGTACTTGTTGCGCCCCTGGACAGCCCTGAATCGGGCCGTCCCTGAGGGTAGTGCTGTGGGCCCTGTGGACTGACCCCGAAGGTCGTCTTCGTCTCTCTCGCACTCATATGCGCTCTGTATGAGTGTGAGTGAAACGACTCCACTGCTGCAGCGCGCCTGCGGCGTGGGCCTGCCCGTCGAACACGCGTGTGCTCGTGTGGCCCGCTACGCATCGCCCGCAGTGGCGCGCCCCCCTCCCCGACTTCCTCGTCACTCCCCTGCGCGGCGGTGATCTCGGTGGAAATATGACTTGTATCCGGCGTGGTGCGGTCGGGGCACGGCGTAGCATGGCGCAGCACGGCCCATCTGACCTGACTGTGTTTTGATGACGCGCAGGCCCGCCCCGCCAGCGCCGCCAGCGCCGCCAGCCAGCCCCTTCTTTCTCTCTCCGCCCCTTCCTCCTCCTTCTTCTTCTCTGTTGCCCCTGCTATTCTCCGCGCGCTACTCCAGCGAGAGGGTAATTGTTCCCGCCGAGGCAAGTACAAGTACACGCACTCTGTACACCTCGGGCACAATCGTCGCAATGGGGCGGCGGTATTTTACCCCGGCACGCCCCCACTGGGAGGTGGACGGACGGACAGACAGCCGGCCAGACAGACAGACAGACAGACAGACAGGCGCTGCAGTTGCTGGATGGCTGGTGTTGCGGCGCAAAGTAAAGCCCTCTTAGGGATTAAACTCGGTATTCAGGGGCCACTGGGCCATTCTGAGTGGCGCGAACGTGTTCGTAACGGCAAAGTTCACAACAAACAACAAGCACACACACACGCACACACAGCAGTGCCATCTCAGCACGTGGAGCGACGTCGGTGTCTGAATGTGTGTGTCTATGTGTGTGTGTGCGTGAGGGCACAACACGCGGACCTCAAAAGTGTGCACACAAAAGGTGGCGCCCCCATCCCCTCATATGTCCAGGAAAGCGAGAGTGCTGAGGAGGTGCAGGGGCGGGAAGGAGGGAGGGCTAAGGTTTGGCCCGAGTCCGGGAGGGGGTGGCGGGGGTACAAAAAAAGGAAGGTGCCTTTTTCCGGAATTGGCCGAGCAAAGAAGGGGGAATGGTGCCCAACTGAGCCAATGACTTGTTCGGCGGGCCGCCCCTCCTTCACAAAGGCTTGCTTCGTCGCCTTTTCATCCGCGAGGCGGGCGGGTCCCTGCCGGCCCCGGCCGCTCGGGAGGTGCACGTCGACCTCGGCACCTCGGCGTCGACGACGGCCACACGTCACTTAACGAGAAAGCAGTTCCCCCCGGGCTGAGGTTATCGCGTGTCTTTCACCGCGCGCTTTCGGGACAAAAAGACAAAAGGGAGGGGGAAATTGCAGAAGAGTAAAGTGGGTACCGCGAAGCATCGCGGGGGGCGGACGCCCCAACGCCACTCACTGCAAATGCATCCACTCCATTCCGCCTTCAGCCGCATTCACCGCCTCCTTCTTCACTTCCTCTTTTCCCCTTTTCCTTCCTCCTCCTTGTCCTCCTCCTTCTTGTCGTCTCGCCATCTCTCTCTCCCCGTAACAAGCTGACGCACATCCATTCCAGCGCTCCCATGATAAACACGCAGCCTCCGCGATGTAATGAGGGCAGCTGTTCACTTAAACACGCCCCCTTCCCCCACCCACGCGCCAAACAACAACAACAACAACAACGAGGCGGCAAAGTGAGGCGCTAATCACTAATCACGCGTGGCGCGCTCCGCGATATATTTCACAGTGGCGTTACTGAGGCGCGCGACGCATTTGCGTGTCCCCGTGGGAAGGCTGGCTGCCTGCCTGGCTGGCTGCCTGGCTGCCTGGCTGCAAGCAGGCCGGGGTATGTGATGAAGCCGGGCAGGAGATTGGGGGGGGGGGTGCGTCGTTCACCGGGTCTCGTTGACGGACGACGTCCATTTCCCATCCCACCGAGAAGGCAGTGCAGGCACTGGAGGCCGCCGTGGCGGAGGCAGTGCAGGCCTTCAAGGCAAAGCGGCGCGACGTCGCGTCGAAAAATGGCGTCACTCCGAGATACCAACGTTGCAACAAAAAGCGGAAAGGCCGCGGCCGGGGACGCTGGTGATGACCGAACCGCGCTCTCTCTCTCTCTCTCTCTCTCTTCTCTCTCTCTCTCTCTCTCTCTCTCTCTCTCTCTCTATCTCTCTCGGCGGCCAGCAAGGGAGTGCGAGAGAGATGGAGCGTGCCCGCCAAGCGACGGGGGAGGAAAATCGACTGGCGTTATTCGCAGGAGGAGAAAGAGGTGTGCCCGGAAATGTGCGGCAATGCGATGAATGTCTCTCGACGGGCGAGGCAGGGGGGAGGGGGGGGGGGGGGGGGTGAGGCGGAGGGTTGAGCAGCCCAGACAGCGCGCGGAGCGGTGCGCTCGGCAAGGGTTCAGAGAGGCCTGCCCGGCGAAGAGAAAGGTTGGTCGAAGGAAAAAAAGTCTTACAAAAAGTCGCTGTCAGTTGAATAGAAAAATCGGTGTGGATCGCAAAGTAGTCAGTGTGGGTTGAAAAACCGGAAGTGGCTATTCTTTTCCTCCGATTTTCCTCGCTGACGCCGAGGTTGAACCGTCATCGCGAACGAGGCTCTGCGACAGCGGGATGGGTGGAAGCCACCGGGGTGTTCCTGAACAAAATAAATATGTACCGCGCCGCCCCGAGGGACTTCCCTTGCCGCCACGCCCCGCCC